AGTGCCACCATCTCCTGTTTCCAATGACTCTGTAGCCTAGAGATCAAAAATAATCATTTTCCACCTCCCCAGTGTAGCAGCAGAAGTAATTTCCCACTGAGACCTGCTTCTGAGGACACAGCTGAGATGTTTTACCCCAGGCTTGGAAACCTCCACAGAGTTGCAAATACCTGGGCTTCAGCCACGAGCCAAGGTGACACCAGCTCTCCCCACAGCCACGACCATCCAGCCCACGGGCAGCCCACACCCACACTCTCACATCACATCTCAGCAGGCATTGCCGACAGCTCTGTTATCTTCCTCTGTCCCGACCAGATCCCAACACCGAACAAGGACATCTCCAAGATATTCACCACTCCTTACTGATAGGTCTTGGCTCACTGAAGGGTGACCAAGAGAAGAAATAAGGTTAATGCCCTCCTTCAGCCAACTTGGTGGCTTGGGGGAGGCTTGGACTCCTGCTGTGACCACAGGGAAAAGGATGGCTGCAAAGAGCCACCCGGCCATGCGCCTTGGCTCTCCTCCCTTGGTTCAACAGCACAGGCAGCAGTGAGCCACGACCTCGCTGTCTAGCCACTCTTTTCTGAGAGCAAAACAGGGAAGGTGGTGGCTGGAGAGAGAGGACCAAGGTCTTGCAGCAGCTGAAACTTGTCCCTAGAAGAGCTGACACGCTGGGAACTATTTGGGCTTTTTTAGTCCTTAGACCAGAGGTGCCAGCAGGTCAGCATGCTCTGCATGAAGTAGAAAAACTGCTGCAAGACCAATTTGTCTTAACACACTGACTGTCCTCCAAAAGTAAGACGGCAAATGCCATGGGGTGGGGCGCTGCGGGTGGATTTCACTGTTGGCTAAAACACTGGAACAACTGCATTAGGAATGGAACGCCATGCAACAGGCTGGCAAGTGGGTTAGATGGCTGAAAAACCAGTAACCAGTACAGGATCAGCCAGGTTGAAGCCTCCACAGAGGGGATGTGCCTGGAGATGTGCTAATGATGAATGAAAACCACCCAGAAGAGTCCACGTATCTATGCAACTCCAAACAAATTTGCAGTTTTCCCTGCGTGCGTAGTGAAGCTTTGGTGCCAGAAGCCTTTAAGGAACATGACACATATCCACAAGCACTGCTTGGGAAAAAAAAAAGTCATTGAAACATCCATTCATTTTTTTAATCAGGCAAAAAGCCATTTACCACTCTCTAAACCAGTCCCCAGATCTATGTGCTTTTAACTCCCCAGCTGAGACAGGAGCTGTGCTGGCAGGCGACGGCAGCCCGTGCCACCGGACGCAGCCACAGTTCTCAGGCCAGTTGCTCTGCTTGCTTTCACTGGCAGTGGATTTAATTCCTGCCCTGGTTTGCAGCTTTTCCAGCATACTCGAGGCCTCTCTTCAGCCCTTAGTAAAATTTTGCTGTGTGAACTAACTGACTGCAGGAAGACCTGAGGACATTTTGTACTCATCCCCCTAATAAAACCTCTGCAGCTCACCTGCAGTCATGCATCTGCCACCAAGGCAGCGGCAGTATAACGTGAGCTAAGGTATGCCAAATAAACAACATTTCACCATGCCAGAGCCCCTGTTGCGTACAAACACCTGCAACAGCCTTGAAACTTGGGCAAAGCAGAACTCCTGTTCTGTTCGCTGTTTTTTGCTTGAACACACTACTGAAAGGCGGTAAAGGGGGACAGAGCAACACGCATCCAGCCCTATTTTTCATTTTCACTGTGAACATCAACGCCCCCAGTGAATACTCTACCCCATCAGAGCATTTCCCAGTGCTTTGATTTCTCCTCCCCAGTCCTGTGCTCTTGGCTTTCAGTGCAATTGCTCACCTTTGCCAAATGAGCTGATTCAGTATTCAGTTACACACCCTTTGCTCCTTTTTTTTTTTTTAATCAAAGGGAAAAAAGGAGCCAAACTGGCATTTGATACCGAGTCCTCTTAATTGCAAAGGGGAGAAATCATCTGCAGCAAGTCTGATGTACAGCAGCAGCAAGCACAAAATGTATAACCCGATGTACAGCAGTAGCTGAGCAGAGAGACACTGTCAAGCTCATTGGCTTCCTGCAGGATACCAAGGACTTAATCTTGAGTTTTGCAGTTTTTAAATGTCAAAGATGACAGAGCTCTGCATAATGGGAATAGTTTCAAGTGGAACTGGCAGCTGTGGCCCGTCTCCTGGGCTCTATATACGTAATCCTCCCAAAAAGGATCTTCAGCCTCACTTGACCAACAGCAATCAAGACACAGAACTTAAATGATTTCACAAGGCAAGTGAAAGAGAATGAAGACCCACCACGAGGCCATGTCAGCACAGACTCCCCGCCACAGCTTTCCCTTCTGGGCTGGGGCAACCTCTACAACAAGGAGGAAAGTTGTGGACTGAGATGTTACGGAGTTAGAAAACGCAGTAAGTGATCAACCGATGTCCGGGCAGCGTCCTGCGGGACCACCATGTGTGCAGGGAGCTGACAACAACAAACCTGACACCGAGCTGCTGTGGAAGCTCACAAAATTCCTGTCTCTTGCTACACAATGATGCCTGGATTAAGGTTACGTTCCTCCGTGCTGCATTTTATCACGCAGCCGCTATTTTGGTCAGAAAGTCAGCAAGCCCTTATTTGGGAAGCTGTCCCACTGAAGGGCAGCATGAAGGGCAGCGAGATGAAAAGGCTGCTTCTGAAGGCAGGCCTGGGGGAGCTGCCTGGAGCCACAGGAAGCCCAAATCTTCCTCTCTGCTTCTCGTTAATGTGCCAACATCCTTTTCTCAGCCCGACCCTTGCGTCGCTCTCTCTTCCCTCAAACCGCATGCTGTGGGTGAGCTACTCTCATAACACACGCACTCTGGGGAAGACACCAAGAGGGTTTAGAAATGAAGTCCCTCTTCTTAGATAGAAAAGCCTTAGTGCTAGAGATTTAAAATGCCTAACCTAGAACAGGTTGGAGATCTGCAGACACACAGGTGAAGGTGCAGCAAGACAAACACAAAGTCCTCTGTTCAGAGGCTTTTTCTTTCACTCCTCTTGTCACAACACATCTGCAGCAGACTGACCTTCACTTACACAGCTGGATCAGCCACTCTGCTGCCTCCAACACCAGGAGCAACCCAAGGGGACATCTCCCCATGCTAGGTGTCTCTGCCAGCCCTGGCAAGGGCTGCAGGGGGCTGCCGGGCAGCTCTGGCCCAGTGGCCGAGGCTGCCAGATGTGCACGCTAACCTGAACCACAGCTACGCGATCTTGCCTTTGTAGACAAACTCGCTCAAGCAGGGCAGGCGCCAACCACACAGCTCGAGACCTCCGATACCCACAGGCACTCGGTTTCCACTGAGGCCAGTGGGATTTTAAGCAGTGTGCATCTGTCTCTGGATGACCTACCACTTGCCAAAAAAACTCCATGGAGGATTAACACCATGAGGAACCTCTCGCCAGTTGATCTTCTGGCGTACCCGAGGGCAGCAGGGACCAGACAACCTTTTTGTCTTGACTATTTAGCAGATTCTACCTGGTGGTATGAAGCCTGTGACTGGACACGCTCTCCAGCACAGCACCCCTCCTGACCAGCACGCTGCTCTCGCACAGCAATGAAGTTCTTTTGGCTGACAAACATCAACCTTCACAACAGTCCAAGAGATGCACACAGCAGGAATCGGACAGCTGAGGGCTGCAGACTCCCCTCAGACTTTAGAAGTCCTTGACTCCTGAGTTTTAAGTTAGTAAATCTCTTTATATTGCTTGGTTAGGGCTGGGTGGTATTTTTCATCAGTCAAAACCAACTAAAAAGTGGGAACTGGGAAAAGAGTTTGGAATTGAAGCCATAAAGAATCCAAAATATTTACCTTGTTTCAAAATAACACTGCATTTTGGTAACTGGCTAAACTATTTTAAAAAATTAATCAATTACATTAATGGGACGTTTCAGTTGATTTTTTTTTTTCCCCTCAATCCAACGGGTGTTTTGCTGCTCTACTGCAAAGTCAGAAGATACTTGCAGACTTCCAGCCCTTGTGTGGATCCATGGATTTACACCACCGGGTGGACAAGCATTGGAATTGCAATTTCAGGAGCAGTTTGTTGCATTTTATCAGGTGGCTCATTTCAGCAATAAAAAAGCACCTGTTGAACCAGCTTTGCTGGCTGGTGGGACCTGGAGAGCGAAGCCCTCTCCTGATCTACAGAAGGACAGCAGTAACAAAGCCCTCTCACTGCACCTCTCAGGCTTTTCAATGTTACTCCCCTGGTCTCACCAGTCAGCGCATTTCATCAGGTAGGTAGTATTTTGTTACTGGCATGAAAGACCTCCACTATAATACAGTAACTATGAAAAGTATGGATATTTTATATAGTCCTATAACCTTACACATTCCCATGGTAGCTCCGCTAACACTTCAATACTTTCAAGTATTTTGGAATACACCACACAGCACTTCTAACACCAGTTGCTATGATCTCTAACACCATGGCTAGCACTCGGTACCCTCCCATTTTTCAGGATTTCCGTAGCTGTAACTACCTTACATGTCTGCTGCTTTGCTGTCCAGGTTAACAGCCCTTGGAAATCTCATCTTGCTCTAACAGCACCAGGGACTATCATAAAAATTGTGGTACGTGAGAACTCTGAACATGCATGCCAGTATCAAAAATAATTTTACGTGTATTGAATACTGTCACCTAAGAGTCCAGGCAACGCTGGCTTCAATTTGTACAAAAAGAAACATGTTGTTTCTTGTTTAAATTTTAAAGCTTCTCTCAATAACCATTTCACAACTTGAAAACAGACTTTGAACTACCGAACGCTCACGACCTGTACCAACGATTACAGCAGAACAGCACTGAGCAGGGAGCAGCTGTTTTACTTCGTGCGTGCGGAGGCTGACAGCGTTAACACAAAACCGCTCCACAGCTCCGGCTGGCTTGATCTGCCAGGGAACAAAAACACCCACTGGTCCCTACAGGCAGGCTTGATGCACAGCTAGCATCTAAAATACAACTCAGACAAGACTTTTGGAGGGCTCTCCTCAAATTCCGGAGGTGAAGACTTTGTTACATCCAATTTTATTTTTACAAAAATGCTGTAACACGCATGCCAATAGGAAAACTGGTTCTTTTGTCTTAAACCATGTCAGTCCTTTTTCTGCTGAGCAGCCTGCTTGGCATTGTTGGCCTGCATCTTCTTCAGCCCCTTTTTGTTGTGTTTCTTTGCAAATCTCATGTTCCTCAGAAACTTGGGATCAACCTATAAAAATAAGGAAAAAATAAGCCATGTTGTAGAAGGGACATATGTAAAAACATATATATATATATGTGTATTTCCAGATTGTTCCAATTATTCCCAAATGCTGGCTGTGATTAATTCAGGGTTTTTTTCTGATTTATTACATCAACAAAATTATTTTAGCCATCTGTAACCATCCTTTAACTAGCTATTTTCCTTAATTTCCATAAACAAACAAGCAAACCGAAAACCCCAGCAATAAACATACGGAAAGGACAAATTGAGTAAAGCTGTAAACAAGAAATTTCATTTCCATGTCACAATACATTCTGGATCTGAAGTACCACAAACCAACCCTGGCAGGTGAGCGCATATACATGTAATCCTTGGGTAAAGACCAATGCCACTTCCTCAGGCCTTTCCTTTTTACATTAAAGGAAAAAAGTACCAGCACAGAGAAGAGTAGCTCCCCCGTTTTTGTCAGCTAACGGCTGGCTAATGCATCCTGTCACGGCTCGGACCAATTCTCAGAACTATCAGCTACTGTCCCACTGAGAAACTTTTGCTGTTTTACTGTAAGCAGCATTTTAACTGGCACACGAGTATCAGGATTTTGCCATCTTAAGCTCATGCACACTCGGTGCAAGGAGACAGACTCAGAGACTGCCGGACTATCCGCAGGAGGGGGCGGGACTGAACCCTCACCGAGCTATGCAGAAGACAAGCGTTTATGTCACATCCCAAAAGCCGACAGTCACAGCTACAAGGCAAACAGAACCACAGCTCTCCCCAAAGCCAAAATGTCCTGTTTTCACTCTCAAGTGTGGAAAAAGATCCCGTTATATCACTTGTCTAATCCCCGAAAAAGCAAAATGCTGCCATTTTCATACGTATTGTCCAGAAATGCCAATTCCTCTCATCTTCTGAGTCAAATTCTCTGGATTAGTACAGATGGTAAAATAATATTGAAGGATACAGAGAAGTAGGAGAGACAGCAGGACTCAGAAGGGAGAAGAGCTATCCAACTGACACCTGTTTGTTTCACTGGAAGCAGCAGTTAGTGACACCCACCCAAGCACGACAGAGACGAAATTCGCTAATAACTGAAAAGCGGTTTTATAGACATACAAGGGTGGATTTCATGTGGGTTAGAAATATCACAGCTGCATGTAAGGTAAGCAAAAGATGAAGCAGTAACCCACAGTGGTTCCGACCATCTGAAACACAAGCCCCTGTCTGCAAAAAATGTGTCAGTCAATGTAACACAAATACTGGATTTTTTCACGGTTAAGCCTCAATAGCCCAACGGCCTGGGAACATCAATAGAAGTACTCACCCCTTTGAGAGATTCGTATCTATGGGATCTGGGTTTCTTGATGCCATTTCTGTGCCACTTACGGGCTATGTGGAAGACCAGAAAACAATTTAAATTACCCTTTTTGGCATTATTAAATAGCTGCATTAGCTTTCCTTTAAGTCCAGCTGACCCTATCAAAATGACGTGGAATAGAAAACTTTCTTAACCCTTCCTATCCAAACTAAACGCAAATTAAGGAAGCATCTCTATTCTCAGCCCTCTGCACGCCGCGCTCCCGGCACCGTGGGAGTTTCTAATCCAAGGATTTCAGGCTCTTCATTAACTAATAACATACCAATGGCAACACCACTAGCGCAATAAAAGGCCTCAGTCACTAAGAACTTCAAGCACGTGTGTTTAAAGGGCACCATCGCTCAGTGTGCAAGACCAAGCAGAACCTACCCGGGAACTCCGCTAACTTACAGCGCCGATGAAAAAAAACCCAAACGAGAGCTATTTGATCACCGTGATCATCTTTGGATGGCAAAGCATCACAGGCTGAATGCCAGTCAGTAACGCGCTTAGTTCAAACACATGAAACGTGCTTTTTCTGTGGTTACCCGTTATTTTTCTATTGAGCCCAAACAAGCCCGGACTCGCGCAGAGCCCTCTTTGCGTTAAACACACCGTTCAACCTCTGCCCACCCCTACCGCCTCCCCTCCTCAGCTCATCTCGCTGCAACAAGAAATGGAAGACCGGGCTGCCGTAACTGAGCAGGGAAGAGAAGCCGGGT